AAACTCCAATATTATAATGAAATGAGCAAAAATTTGGAGTTAGAGAACCAGAAGGGAAGAATACGCTTAATATTTCTCAAGCTGCGGGAACTGAAAAAAAAATTTAAGCCTTGAATTTCAATATTGAAGGATTCTACTGGCAAAATAAGGAGCTCTGGTAGTGTAGTGGTTATGAATCGGACTGTGAACCGCAAGGTCAGCAATTCGAAACTACCAGCTGTTCCGCAGGAGAAAGATGAGGCTTTCTGCTCTCGTAAAGATAAACAGCCTCAGAAACCCTGTTCATCAGGGTCACTATGGGTCGGAACTGACTCAACGGCACTTAACTACACCAACATTGGGAAAATATTGAATGATGCAGAAAACATCAAAACAAGATAGAAAGGGACTTCCGGTTTGATGGTGGATTAGGAAGAGGTGCCATGCACACCTTGCCAGTAATAACACAGGATACCAGACAAAGCAGGTTCAGGGGACAGTCCTGGAACTCTGAGCTACATATACAGGCATATTTACAAGAACTGAAAGCTTACTGCTAGTAAGATTTGTAGCAGAAGTAAGAAAGCTGATGTTTTCTCATCTGAGGCAGCGGGTCCCAAAGTAGCCATCTTGAGCAGGATAAAGCTGATACAAGAGCCAGGGAGCGCTCCCATCACAGAGGTCTGGCGGATCATTGGAATAAAGGTGTGCAACGGTTTTTTGTTGTTCATTTGTCTCTCTCTCTGCACCTCCACTCTGGTAACTAGAGGGGGTGCCTGACCCCCTCATCCCTGGAGGGTTCTATTACACATGCACACGGATCTGCTCAGTAAAGGCCACTGGGCCCAGAATTGACGAAGGGGGAGGAGTCAATAGGTACAGCTTAAAATGAAAGATCTCCAAAAATGGCTCACCATGGAACCAATAAATATCATCAAGATAAACGGAGAAAAGACTGAAGTTGTCAAAGACTTCATTTTGCTCAGATTAAAATGGAAGTAGTAGTCAACAAATCAAACGACCTATATTGCACTACGCAAATCTGCTGCACAGACCTCTTTAAATAGTCAAGAGCAAAGATATCAGTTTCAGGACTAAGGTGCACCTGACCCAAGTTATGGTACTTTCAATAACATTATATGTGTGTGAAAGTTGGACAGTGAAAAAGAATACCATGGAAGAATGGATGCAGTTGAGTTATGGTGTTGGAGGAAAATAATAAAAGTGCCACCGACTGTAAAAGAACAAACAAATCTGTGTTGTAAGAAGTACAACCAGAATGCTCCTTAGCAGCCAGGGTGGCCAAACTTCATCTCTAATAGTTGTGACATATTATCAGGAGGGAAAGGACATCATGATTGGTAAAGTGGAGGGCAGCAAAAAAAAAAAAGGAAGATCATCAAGGAGCTGGACTGGTTCAATGGCAGCAGTAATGGGCTCAAGTTTAGCAATGATTGTGAAGTTGGTGCAGGACCCTGCAGTGTTCCATTATGTTATGCATAAGGTCACCATGAGTCCGTACTGACTTGACAGTACCTAACAACAAAAATAACAACCTAATTATTACAATCTAATAACAACAATAAATAAAATTTCAAGCACATGTATGCTGTCCCCTGAGTTTTCAAAGAGAAACAGAGAAACAGCTAGGAGTATAATTTGCTGGGAATTAAAAACTGATTTTAAAGCAACCAAGAAAAGCAAAGTATATCAGACTTTGTAAATCAAAATTAAATAAAACTGTAATTTGTATCACATACCTCCACCTAAATAAATATATTCTCATAAAGCTAAGTCCTAAAATAGAAAGCACTTCCTACCTCAACAAATGTTTATTACTTGCCAATTCAACAGGGAAATAAGGTCAAACAGTGCAGGCTAGAAAAACTCTATAGACAATCCAGTCCTGTTGTTGACTGTCACTGAACTCCCAACTCATGATGACCCCAAGTACAATGCCCCTGCACTATCCCCATGATCGATTATCGATGACAATATTTTGTCTGTCACAGATTGAACTGGGTCCCTGAAAAGTATGTGTCAACTTAGCAATAGATTCCCAATAGTCTGGCTGTTATATAATGATGTAATGCAGCAGGTATGTAATGTTCTCCCATGATGTGATCTGGTATGGCAAAACAATCAGTTGGAAGAAGATTATGGGTAGGAGAGCCCTGATCCAAAGTAGGGTGAGCTCCCCTAGTGTGTGTAATCTGCAACATCTTTTATATTACAATAGATAAAAGGAGAGAGAAGCAAGCAGAGAGAAAGAAAACCACTACTACCAATACAGAGTAGTAGTAGAACACATTCTTTGGACCAAGGTCCTTGTGCTGGGTAGCTTGTAGATATCAAAAGGTCTCAAAAGGTAAAGCCAACACCTCTGAGGTCTCTGGAATCTCCTAAGTGTAGGGCCACAGTTTCCTAAATGCCAAAGATTCGGATCTTCACCAACTGGGTTCCAGAATGTGGGGCTGAAGTTAGGATGAGGCCACTGCCCATTAAAGGAGGTGGGGCTGTCATGCCCAAGGTGGCAGAAGAACAGAGCCTGTCAGGGCCAAGAAGGTAGCGTCACCACTCAGATGCAACAGGAGAAGGGAGCCACCCAGAGTGAAGGAGCAGAGATGCTGTTCCAGTAGGCCTGGAAGACAGAGCTGAAGCCCAGAGTTGAAGTGTCTCTATCTAGAATCCAGAGATCATGGCCACAATCCAGAAGCTGGAGGGCAGGGCAACTAGGTAGTCTCAGAGAACGGGATTATATTTAAGCCATTAGAGGTAATATAAATTGTTCTGCTGGATTTTTAACTTGCTTGGTACCTGTTATCCCATCTTTCCCTCCAAGTGCTCCCATTTGCAATGGCAATGCCTACCTTGTGCCTTTTCCACCACTGTGCTTTGGAAGCAGATTACTTTAATTCTACATTCATGAACAAACAGGAATTTTACTTCAGGTTGGAATTTGGACTTGGAAGACTTTGGAGATGATATGATGGGATGAAAGTGTGCTACATGTGGCAAGGACATGAATTTGGGAGTAGTCAAAGGACAGTAGGTCGTGGAAATATATTTAACTGTGTCCTTCCAAAATACGTTATCAACGTAGCTGGGTCATGATTCTCAGTAGTGTGGCCATTCTGTAATGATACGATGTGGCAGCTTAATGATCCCCAATAATCTGATCTGCTGTGATGAGAAATCAGTTAGAAGAGAATTAAGGGTGCGATGCAACACCCTTAATCCTTTCACAACCCCTGATCCAGGCAAGGTCAGCTCCCCTAAGGTGTGGTCTGCAATACCTTCCACCTTATAAGAGATAAAAGGAGAGAGAAGCAAGCAGAGGGAGAGGACTTCCTGCCACCAAAAGAGCAAAGTCAGGAGCAGGGCACCTCCTTTGAACCCAGGGCCCTATGCTGGGAACCACCTACGTCCAGGGAATGATTGAACACATGATGATCTCTAAGGAACTATGGGTTTACAGATGCTGAAAGGACACATGTACCTTCAACCTGAAACTTGAGCCAGAGGGAGAGAAAGCCTTCCCCTACATGAACAGGAACTTCTAACCTCCTAAAATGTGAGAGCATTTCGCTTTGCTAAAGCCATCCATTTGTGGTATTTCTGTTATAGCAGCAAGAAATAACTAAGACAGAACTCTTAGGGTGGGTTTCACTGTCTTATTTTTATAAGTAGATTGCAGCTCTTTCTTCCTAGTCTTAGTCTGAAAGCTTTGCTGAAACCTATTCAGTATCGTAGTAACACAGAAGCCTCCAAGGAAACACGGTGGAGGCTGAATATACAACTGAGCAGGAACTCACGCAGGGTTTCTACCGCTGTGCCACCACTGCTCATTGTTAACCCCTTCATTTTCACAAAAGAAGGTGGTGAGAGCCTGAAATGATCTGTGGAGAGCTCAAAAGTCTTCTGTACCAAACAAAATTACCAGTAATGGAAACACACTACAAGCAAAAAAAAATCAAACAAGCAAAGACCAATTTAGTTTGCCTATTCAGTTGTGATCCTTGCTATAGTAAAATTCAGCTTTTATAGAATGAGACAAAATGCATATCCATAGAAACAATAGTCCCCAAGGATACAGGGAAGAGGAGACTAAAAAGTATGGCTTTTTATGCATGTCTTCTCATCCAAAGTATACACAGAGGCTGTGGAATAGAAAGGGACTAAAAGGAGCACAGCTTTAAAATCAGACAGGTCTGCATTTGAATTGCAGCTCCACCCCTTACTTTCATCTTAGGCAAGTTATTTAACCTATCTGAATGGCCCAGTATTAAAATCAGCAAGATGGAGATAATTAACGCCTACCTTACTGCTTGCTAAAAATATTTTTTAAAATTGCAAGTCATCTAATTTCAGGATTTCGTACATTCCTGGCTACAATCCACTTTTTATTCACAGTTTCATAACGCTCAGTAGAATCACCATCTTCAGTAGCCTCTGTCAGTTTAATGATTAACACACTATCAACTGCACTAGCATGGGAATTCTACTAACAGCAGGGATGGCAAAGTTCATACTGTTATCTATAGGTTGTTTGTCAATAATTACAGCACCTACCTGTTTTGAGGCAAAATAAAAGGTTACATAAGAATTTTTCTTCAGATATAAAATTAAATGATCTGTTTCTAGCTACAGGCAGGACACCTGATGAATTACACCATCTGAAAGCTAGAGGTGTTCTTGGAGATCTCTATAGTATAGTATACTAGATGAGATGACCACCTTTGACTTGAAGGCTTCCAAGTAGCAGTTTATAACATTTCAAACCTTTGTAATTACCAAAAAGGGGTTTTCACTCCTTAAAATGGGTAAATAACAAAAAATAGTGGATGATAAAGTAAAATACTTCCCACACTACATACTTTTTGAAAATGCAAATTTTTATGTACTGTTTTCCTTTGGTCAAGTTTCAAAAATGCATTTTCAAATTCATAATTTTGTCCCTGTAACGAAATACGTCTTAGAAACTCTGCCTTATAAAACTATAAAACATAGAGCAAACATACCTGGGATTATATCATTGATATGCAAAAGAAGTGTACTTTCAACACTTGCAAAACTACAAAGCTGTTCACCATTAAATCTTCCATCCCAGTTGCCAACAGGATTATCCTAAAATTAAATCATAAAGTTTTTTAAAACCCTTCTCAATGAAATATAAATATAAGCATCTGTATTTTCCATAAATGGATTCTCCAAAACATTTTATAATGTTACTATTTTGCCTTTTAAAAAAGACTATATTTGGAAAATCTACTACAAAAGCAAAGCTTTTCTTTTCAGTAGAGAAAAGAAATCCAAGAATAACCAACCCATAGCAATCCCATAGGTGAGAAAGGAATCAAGTGCTTTTAGGGTTTTACTAGACAGTAACTACTAGTCTGTATAATAACAAAGACATGATTTTGCATCAAGAGATAAATAAGCCTAGCTTGCTCTGATCACCCCTTAGCAGTCCCTTAGCATGTAAATATTCCATATGAACTCCTAGGTGCCTTTTTTGTGCAACGGAAGTCTACTTTTTCACTGTTCCTTTGTTATTTTATAAGTTTGCAAGAATTTTCTCCAAAATAGAGACTTTTGCCTTTAATTATTTTATGCTCCAATGTAAGCACCACCTAGCAGTGGGGCACATGGAGCTTGATGAAGGAATGGACTGGTTACACAACTGCCCTTGAGCACCATCTCTTCAGAGTACAATAGTTCTTAAAATAGAAGGAACTATCTGGTTACTAGAAGTGTTTGGAAGGACTGCTTGATGGAAGGCAAAAGGGGAGAGAAGCTGTGGAGGCTGGGGGAGAAGACTGTAAGAAGTTTGTGACCAGTAGACAAGCTGATCCCTAGGCTGCCATGCTAGGAAGGGAAAGCTTCAATGGCTGCTTTTGCCAAATTTGGAGCTCAACTAAATGTCTTGAAGAATGGTAAACTAATTTAAAATGCTTAATAGAAACACTTGTTTCTATGGTGAGTACAACAGTCTATCACTGACATCCTCTCTTGCTATTCATTTTTAGTGTTCAATAATTCTATGTGAATTTCTTTCTTCATTCCTAACAAATCCTTGCCCATATTTCAACCTATTTTAAGTATGTTCTTTGCCTTTTTCTTCTTCTATTAAGATGTAGGTAAAATTCAACTTGCCACACTGGAATATATTCACTATTAATAAGTGTACTTGTAACGTAACATTAGAAACAACTTACACCCTAAGGAAAATATTCAAAAGAGTCGATTCCTCTAAAAGCAATGTGTTTTTCCTATACTCTAGTACTTTCCTTAAATAATTTTTATACTAATCATAATAATAAGAGCAGATATAATATTACAAAATATTTACTTTTAAAGATTAGTAAAATAAACAAAAAAAGGCTTTTCAAAATAACAAATAACACATCAGTTGAAACATTGGTTGGTTTGGGGTTTGTTCTTTCTGTCTACTAGGTGCTGTGGATTAATGCACTGGACTGCAAAGTTGGTTTGAACTGCAAGATTGGTAGTTCAAGCTTACCAGTCGCTCTCAAAAACCCTATAAGGGTCACTATGGGTCAGAACTGATTCAATGGCACTGACCACAACAATTCAGTTACAAAAAGATAAATTCAGAGGATGAAAGCATTGTTCTAATTTATTCAAAGTGGAAAAAAGAGTAAATATAATTCTATATCCAGAGTCCTGAATCATTTCAATGGTCCTTTCACAAAGATAAATATGGTCTCTAAAATACTCCAAATTACTCTATTTTAAGTATTTAAAGAGTTCAATTTATATTGAAATCAGTCATAAAACTAACAGACATAAACAAAGATAACCCAAAGGTTTCTTACCATGTCCACACCAACAAAATATCCTAAACTTTTTTTTCCTGGCAAAACACCACAGAATATAACTGTTCCAGATTCTAAAGTGTCTCCAACCTTCAAAGAAACTCTGGAGTTTATTTCCAAAGGGGGAAGTTCCATTTGCATTGTATCCACAGGACCTGCATAATCATTTTCCAATCCAGTGTCATCATCTTCTATGATTTCTAGCTTGTCCAAGGCCACAAACACACCACAATCTTCATCACACTGAAAGTACTGTTTCCCTTGATAGATTCCATCAGTGAACCCTTGACCACGACCTTCTTCCTGGTTTTTGAGTAGAGACAGAGAGATATAGATGATATATATATAATTTTATATATATAGCTAGATGATGTATAAGAAAGAGGAATTCCCAGATCATTCTAGAACAATCCGAAATAACGTAAGAAATATAATTACTTGTGCTGCTGTTATACTTGTTGCTGTTGTTGTTGTTAATGCCATCAAGTCAATTCCAACCCATAGAGACCCTGTATAGGGTTTCCGAGGAGTAGCTGGTGAACTTGAACCACTGACTTTGTATCCAAACTGACTTTGCAGTTCAGTGCATTAACCCATATTTAGGATGTTTCAACTGAAGTAAAATTTAAAAATCAATTTGATTTCTGTAAAAGCTAAGCTGGATTCTATATTGTGGTTTTAACAATCATGTTGTCATAGAGAGAACAAATCATTTTAAAGGAATAGTAATATTAGCTCCATTTACTGAGCACTTACTATGTCCAGCCACTGTGCTCACTCATGCATCAATGCAAAACAAAAGCACTGCAAACTGGATATGACTGTCACTATTTCCAGGAGTCCTGGTAGTGTAGTGGATTCGTTCAAACCTACCAGTCACTCTGCTAGAGAAAGATGTGGCTCTCTGCTCCCACAAAGACTTACACTCTCAGAAACCCTGTACAGGGTCACTACAAGTTGGAACCAACTTGATGGCACACCAACACCAATACCATGACTATTTTACAGGTAAAGAAGCAAAGATGCTAAGGAACTTGGTTGAGTAACTCAGAGAGTAAAGGGTAAAGCTAGGATTGAAATCCCCAATGTTTTACAGTCACTACTGAGAAAAAAAAATACAATGAATTAAAAAGTAAGCAAACGGATGAACCTTGAGGACATACTGCTGAGTGAAATTAGTCAGTCACAAAGGACATATTGCATAAGCATTATTGTAAAAGCTTAAGAAAAGATACCCACACTAAAAGGGGAAAAAAAATCTTTGTTGGTTACCAGTGAGGGTAGGGTGGGGGTGGAAGTTTGGGGGAGGTAGAGGGAGACGATAGTAGAGCACAGGGTAGGGGGTAGACACATCACAGTTTGGGTGTTGGGGAGGGCAATACACAAGAAGGGACAGGGGGTGGAAGAAAAAGGTGACAGAGGAATACTGAGACAGGTTTGCATGGGCTAAATGAGACAGAGATAAATAGTGGTGCATGCTCACTGGAACAACAGGGCTCTGTGATACAGGGATCAAGGCATAGTCTGAAGAGGGGAAATAATACTAAGATGTTTGACTGTCTGATGAATATTGGTTTCCCTTGCCTACTATTATAAAATAGACACTTGAGTGGGATTGAAAGGAATGTCGGGAAACACGATTACAGAAAGCGAGTAAGCCCATCTTCAGTCTTTAACTGACTGGAATACCTAAAAGGGGTTCTAAAACTTGCCCAGTGAAATAGGCCTCTTGCGGAGCCTTTGCAGTGTATAGGACCTTAGGTGGAATCCTGAGCCCCATCCAGAACCTTCTGAGGTGGGCATGCCCACTAGAAAGGACAAGCAGAGCAGCCTGGAACAGCTAGAGCAACAGAAGATACATCTTTATAGAAAGATCATCAGGAAAAACCCAAAACAAAATGGCAGTATGATTGGCTACTACAAGAATTAAGCAAGTTGTTCGCCGGGAAGCCATCAAGGCAAGCAATCAAGTCCCTTCAGGTAGGCATGTAAGCTTGTTGACATTGGTCTACTGGTGAGTGGAAGAGGGGGAAAGGTAGCAATGAAGAAATGAGCTGTGTTCAACCATGTTCCATAGACTCCCACTGACCTGGTGTCCAAAGTGTAGTGAGACCTGGGGACACCTGAGCCCATGGACAAGGACATAGCCATGGAGGGCTAGAGTTGAGAGTGAAGCATCCAGTGATATGAAGTGAGGGGAGATGTATAAGAACACCCAAACTTGCAGATAGCACTCATTTGACCTAGCCTCCATGGCTTGAAAACCAGAACTTGACTAGAGGAAGATTAAAAAAAAAAAGAAAGAAAATTTGTAACAAAGGAAACGAAAGTAAATTGCTACAATTTGATGAACTTGACCTATACTCAAGGAGGTAGTAGTTCAAAATACCAACAGACAGGGAAGGAGTCTTCACATCAAGTATCAATGCTATCCCCTCTGTACACAAGATAGATAGGGATAGGCCACTTAGACATTGGCTACCTAAAATGAGGGGGTGGTAAAGGCACAAAATGACTGGCTTATAAGGTTTCAAGAGGGAGCTTAGTTTTAAGAGTGTGGGGGGGAAGATAGGGTCCCCAATGAATAGTTTCATCTTATCTAGATGGGTCTGGTAAAAAGAGATGTGGATAAGAATCTTATGACTCAATAGTGTGCATTTGTTATCATGACTAATTGCAACTGTCACAATTGTAAAGGTAGAAATTTTGTAACAAAAACGGGGAGTAGCTGATCTTCCAGACTAGAAACAGATGACCCTAGGGCCATCAAGGGAGAAGAGCATAAGCGGAAAGTGGGACCTTATCCAGAGAAACAGTGACACTAGAGATGGAGGCAGCGATGAGGACATAGAAAGAGGGAGCAGCTGAGGCCTCTGGATTCATGGAAAGAGAGGAACTAAGAGCTGGTGCCCAGGGGGCAGACTTGCAGAATGTCTCCTTTGGTGGTTTAAATTATTATATATGCCTGAGTGTTTAAAAAAAAAAAAAAAAAAGAGCTAAAATGAATAGAGAAAAATACAGTTAACTGATGGTACATGGATGGGATTATAATCATTGTAATGAAACAAGGTATATGATTTGTTGAATATAAAACTGATGATCTGGCCTGTAAACTTTCACTGAATTCACAATAAAAACTTAAAAAAAAAAAAAAAAATGGGTAAGCAAACAAGACATGAAATTCTGTTTGCACGAATGGCCAAATGATATTGGCAGTTAAGCTCTTGAGAAGAAAAGGCCTGGCAAACTGTTTCCATTAATATTGCAGAAGAGAAAATCCAATGGATTGGTTCTACTCCGTTATACATATGGTCGCTATGAGTTGGAATCAACTCAACGGTAACAAACAACAAGAACAAGTTTAAGTAACAGATATAAGAGGTTGTTTCAATGCATCAGGTTTTCAATTTATCATTAAAAAACTAATTCTAAAGATTATGACTACTAAAAATTACAAAAGACTTCTGTGAAAAGAAGTTATGTTGTATTTAAAGGGAAAAAATATATATGTATGCAGTCACACACACACATATATACACTAAAACTCCACTACAAATTACAAAGTGGTTCATCAAACTTACCAGCAATTCTACTCCAAAGAATATTCCCGACACTGTCCTCTCTGTTAATAAGGACCCTCGGAAGCGTACAACTCCAGGAAATTTTTCTTCCCCTGATCTCAACTGTACTTTCACAGAGCAGCCCACATCTATTTGGAGGCCTTTACTTAGTCTGTTTGTGTTTTTAAACAAGCTGAATCTCTCCTCACAGTTGGTAATTGCCAAGAGTAACTCTGTGAATTTTTCATTTATTTCTATAACATCCTTTTCATCAACAAAAAGAACAGTATGAGGCTGTTCTAAAAGTTTTAATCCAATCTGGTTTTTCTTCCCTTTTGCAGAAGGAATCCTTGAATGTCCCAAAGAACGGTCTTGGATATACTGTCCTATACTCCCCTTTGGTACTTTAAGGAGCTTTTGCGTTTGTTTATCTGTAACACTGCATTCTTGAAGAAGCAAATAAAAAATCCGCTCTTCCCAGTAGGGTGAAGTAACTTTCTCTTGGCTCCATAAGCTTGAACTCATTGTGATACTAACTTTAAAATGCTAACTCAAAAAACAAAGGGAACTGCTAACACGGTTGTCATAAAACCATGATAGATAAATTCACCAGCAGTCCCAAGACATGCTTGCAGCAATCTGGTGTCCATGATGCAAAAAAAGGCAGCAAATCAGAAGGCCTAGAACACAAGCAAAAAGAGATTTTAGAGTTCATCTTGAATCACCTAAAATTAATATTAAAGTCTTTAAAAATCTTATTCATTAAAATAAACACACAAATTAAATAGTTTCAAAAATATTTTGAAGGGTTAAAAGACATGTATTATTTGTAACCATTGCAATTTTGCAGATTTAAAGAACTGATGAAGGAGGTGAGCAGGAAATTTGTATATCTCATAAATCCAAAAAGATTATATACAGTTATGCTTTGTATATTAGGGTGAATCAAATAGTATCGCTACCTTTATTTAACAAAAATATCAAAATGTGATGATACTATTTTTCCACAAACTCTCCACTCTCTACACTTCTGAAGGTGTTGGGTCCATCTTTCTAACCTTTCCCCAGAAAATTCTGCGTTCTTTGATTTACACCATATCAAAAAGGCAATTTTGGCATCATAGAGGGACACAGATCGTGCTCATTTTAAACGTTCTGAGTTTGGGAAACAAAATGAAGTCTGACGGTGTAAGAGCAGGCTGTAGGGTAGATGAGGTTGGGTTTCCTAAGACAGCACTTGCTACCACTTAAGAACATGCAAGTGCATTGTCATGATGGAAAAAATTCCTCAGTACAACTTTCCTACTCACCAATGCAGTTTTCAATTTTCTTAAAACTTCTTCCTAATAAGCCCCATTTGACTGTTCTGTGTTCTTCTAGAAAATCTATCAAGATTATCCCTTTCGGGTTCCCCAAAACAGTCACCATAACCTTCTGAACTGACCTCTTTGCCTTGAACTTAACTGGACCAGCAGATCCCAGTAGCCACTGTTTTGACTGGACCATGTTTTCTTGATTTTATTAGTAAATCTAAGACTCACCTCTGGTTCCATTTCATTTCATAAAATCTTCATGCTTCAATCTTGCTTAAAAGACTAATGGAAAGATCTTCATGCAATGCTTTTGGCACCCAAGACCCAAAAGCTTGTTAAAGCCAAGATACTCACTTAAAATTGAAAATGCCAAATCATGTGAGATCCTAACTTCAGTAGCTATCACATCAATAATAATTTGAGACCTAATAATAATTTGAGACCTTCTTCCACAAGTTTCTGGAATTCATAGTTTCTTCATTTGTTAAGGTTGACAGACTTCTCTCTTTTAGCTCATCTTTGAGGTCTATCAACCTTCTCTAAACTGCTTGATCCATCTAAAAACTGTTGGTTTATGGAGGCAGCCTTCCCATAAACTTGTTGCAAATTCCAATTATTTAGGAAGATGGCCACTGAGTTTAGTTACAAATTTGATATTAGTACTACTCTCAAGATCACTCCTCCCCTCACCCATGGCACACACAAAAATATCCTTTGATTTGAAGACATCACAATAATAATAAATCGGGTATTACTGAGAGAACTTGTCTACAGCCATCCACAGATCACAGAGAAACATTTAAGCATGTTTTGTTTGGAATAAACTTATGCATGTATGAAATAGTACCTTGATAACAGTACATTCTGACTTACCCTCATATACTACTGACCATCTTTTAACAAGAAAATCACTATAAAAATCACATTCTAACACTTAACCACAATATCTGATAATGGAACATTTTATCTCTCAGTTTCATTTATTTTATCTTGTACATTTTGTCCTTCACTAGGCATACTATTAATCACATTAATCATTTGTTGTTGTTGCTAAGTGTTGTCAAGTTGAGTCTGACTCATAGAGACACTGTACAGGTTTTCTGAGAAGCAGCAGGTGGATTTGAATCACCAAGCTTACAGTCAAGTGCTTATTTTTCAGCCTTACATCATTTATTTTCTTGCTATCACAAATGTCAGATAACATAAATCTGATTACATATCTTTTAAAATTTTTATTGTGAATTGAGTGAAGGTTTACAGAGCAGAGCAGTTTTACATTCAGCAAATCATATACTTTGATTCATTACAATGAGTGTAATTCCCTCCAGGTAACAACAGTTAGCAGTATTTACCTCTATTGACCTTAACTTTGCAATCTTCTCTGTGTCTCTTGTTACCTTCATCTTTCCTCTATTAATCTCCCTCTTACTGTTTATTGCCTGCCCTGTCTCCCATGTTATCATGCTTACCCTCTATCCTATGAATAGTTTTGCCTCCGCCCTTCCCTATAAACATCGATTGTGTCTTTTATTAAGAAAACATTTTCCTTACTTTATACATTGTTCATATAATATTTGTCCTTTTGTGATTGCCTAATTTCACTCAGCATAATGTCCTCCAGGTTGGTTCATCCATGTCATTAGATGTTTTGCAGATTAATCATTATTCTTCAATGTCACATAGTATTCCATTGAATGTATGTACCAAAGTTTGTTTAACCATTCTTTTGTTGATGAGCAGTTAGGCTGTCTCTTTTTATCCTGTTTTCTTATCCATTCTACTCTGTCTCTTGAGTGGCACATTTAATCCATTGATATTCACTGTAATTATCAATAGATTGGACTCCTCGTGTGGTACTGTAACCACAGGTGGACAGTTCAAACTTATCAGTCGCTTCTCAAAACCCAATACAGGGTTGCTATGAGTAAGAAATGACTCCATGCCACTTAAAACAATGAATAGATTGCTTTCCTTTTGCTGTGTGTTTTTTTTTTTGTGGTGCTGATGGTTTCTTTCTTCCATATAATTTTCTGCACTGAGTCAATTCTGTTGTGGTCTTTCTTTTCATTTTCTTCATTTCTATTGTGTGTTAATGTTGACTGCATCTTTCTGGTTTTCCTCTTTTTTTATTTTGATGTGAAGTTATATTCATTTTCATTGAGATTACCCTGTAATTTATTAATCTACTGGTGGTGGTGGTTATGTGCTGTGGAGTCGGTTCTGACGCACAGTGGCCCTGTATAGGGTTTCTGAGGCTGTAAATATTTACACAAGCAGAAAGCCTCATCTTTCTCCCATGAAACGACTGGTAGTTTTGAACTGCTGTCCATGAGATCAGCAGTCCAACTCATAACCACTATGCTACCAGAGCTTCTTAATTTATTAATATATCCCTATTTTAAATAGTCTGGTTTACCTTGAAATCTACTTAATTTCCTAGTTATTTGGAAGTTCTACATCTCTACTACTTCCTCTTTTTGCTCTGTAGTTGACTTTATTATACTTTGGTATCTCTGGTTCCCTACTTCCAGTCTTGTAAATTTGTTTTACTTTAAATACTTCTATATCTGAATTGCAAAGATTTAGAGTTAGAAAACCAAAAGGGAAGAACACGGTCAGCATTTCTCAAGCTGGGGGAACTGAAGAAAAAATTCAAGC